ACACTAGTATGTGGAACGCTGACTGACTTGCTAACAAAGCCCTAGAGCTAGAGGTCTTTTTACAAAGTCGTAATAGTGATATTATGTTATTTAGTGAAATACACTTTTGTTCAAGGTCGTAATACAACTTGCATGGCTACGATATCCATCAAGCAAACCATCCTACCGATCGGAAACGCGGTGGCTCTGCTATTTTAAAAAGAATCAAATATTCAGGTCCTTGCAACCTGCGAGCTCACGCATTAACCAGCCAAAATTCACCAATAGCCATAGCTGTTTGAATTTCTTGAACTGAACTCTGATCCCATTCCATTAATAATCGGATTTGGCGTCGATGCACTAAAAATTAATCAACGGCTTCGCATTCTTCCTCGAAATGTAAGCGTTCAACGGTTTCGAAAAGTAATTAACTGACTTGTTAGCCTCAATCAATTAACCGCAAGTTGAAACATTTGTTCGGAACATCCTTATCGCTGCTGAATCACCAACCTGCGGACAAGTGTCCAACCCTTCCAATCCACCTCATGCTCTTTTAAAACCTGAGGTTATGGACTTGGACTTGGACTTGGTAAGGTTGAAGAGATGACTACGTCATAAATATATGAAGTCCCAGGATCCAGTCGACAACAGAGACATGTTGAAGACGAACTTTAACAAGAAGTAACGCTATAGTTCAGTGCCGTGACTATGAGATAACCGTTATTGTTTTACACAATTTAAAAATATTAATTTTGCTAGTGGAAATTCACAAAGCGCCACCTATTGTCAGAGAAAGCTTGCTATGTAACTGATAGCGACGTCACTGCCCACGTGAGGCCTTATAACCTACATTTCTTCATAAATAGCGAAATAATGTTCGGATTTAAAAATATTTGGTAAATCTATAGATTCTGACAAAAATACGTTAAACAAAGTCAAACGACTACATATACTATTATATTATTGACACCACAGTTTTCCGCGGTTTGTTGGCGTAAGAGTGGGCGTGGCCGGATGAAAACTTGTGTCAAGTTGCAGTGACATCTCTAAAAGACTTATGTTAAGCACAACTTGCTAGCTCTTATAGTTTCCAAGATTTACGCATGTTTGGTTTTCCGGGTTTTGCGGGCGTTAGGGTGGGCGTGGGAGATGTGAAGAATCAATTTGCTATTGGGGCATCATAAAAACCTACATGCCTAATCCGAATTTTCTTTTACTTATATTTACCGAGATATCAGCTTCTATACAAAATACGAAAACCGTCTTCCGAGCTTGGTGGCGTAAGAGTGGGTGTGACGGTCAAAACAGTGTTACCGATAGTTAAGTCAGTATTAATAGGAAATTTAGTATTTTTTAAGTTATCTGATTTTTGGCCGATTGAAGTACGGGCTTATTAATGGCGGTTATGTGAATGCCGCCGGAAATTGCCTTTTTTATTATCTTGTGAATGTAGGAGGGCACACTGCGGTAAGGTTAAGAGTAAGATTAAGATTCTGTAATGTGAGGCTAGTTTTAATGAATTTACAGAATAAAACCGCTCCGCTCCGTTCCGTTTCGTACGCTTTGAAGTTCACCTTTCTTTGAACCTACGCGTGGGGAGCTGTTGAAGGCAACTCCGCACTTCACAAGACGACACCTTTTATTCGCAGTCCTAGGGAGACTGCAAGGGCAACTTGCGCTAGAGGACGGCTTGACGACCAGCTAGAGAGTTGCCAGGAGCGCACGGAGCGCTTTCCCGTACCAGCAGAGGAGTCGCAGCCAGCGACATAGACGGCGCAAGGAGCGCCAAACACTGAGTACGGACGGAGTCGCAGCCAGCGACACGGAGACGCAGCCAGCGTCAGTTCAGGAGACGCAGCCAGCGTCAGGTCAGGAGGCGCAAGGGGCGCCGAGCATCAGCGTCAGCAGCCAGACGGCACAGGTCCGCCATTTTGGAGGGCTAGGGCAGCGCCATATTTGGACCATATCTATTTCGAGTTCCCCCAGGAGAAGTTCCCGGCTGAACGGAGGGGAAGCCACCCCTACAACAACGCAGCAGCCAGCGATTAGTGCAGCAGAAAACCGGCCATGGGTTAACATAACCACTGTGGCGGCCATTTCTCCCCCAGCCACTACAGCGACTACAGTAGCGTCCCAACCAAGGAGTACTGTAACAGCAGCTGCGAGCTCAGAGCCGGAGGTGGGCCAGCCATCCACGGCGTACCTTTTGGATAGGATCACGGCGTTGGAGAATGAGCTGAAGCAGGTTAGAGCCATGAACACAACGAGCACCGCCAATTGCGCGCCAATCGCAGTTGGCCCAAGCGCAAATGGCGCCAACAGTGGAGCGTCGGGGCGGCCGCCATCTTGGCGCGGGCCGTCATTAGTCACATCGAATGGTGAGGCCCCAACGGGGCCGGGCCGGTCCCACATAGCGGTGTCGGTGCGAGCAGTGCGGCCTACACGCTGCCGCCATCTTGGAGTGGACCACCGTTACTAACGACTAGCAACCCACTGTGTGCTACACGTGCTGCGCAGACAGCGCATGTATTCGTGCTACCGGGCGGGAGCATCCATAACGTGGCAACTGCATCGCCATTTGTGGGATCCTACGCCTCGATGACACCGATTGGAACCCAAGGAGCGAATGGGCCAAGGAGGCTTCCAGACTTGCCTATATTTGGAGGGCAGCCCGAGGATTGGCCCTTCTTTAATTGTGCATTTGAGGAGACGACCCAAGCGTACAACTGCACGGACCTGGAGAACAACCAGAGGCTGTTAAAGGCGCTGAAAGATCAAGCACTCGAGACAGTGAAGTCGCTGCTGATTCACCCTGCGAACGTCAGAGCCGTGATGGAGAAGTTACGCTTTAGGTTTGGCCGACCGGAGCAGCTTATACGCAGCCAGCTGAACAGCGTGCGAGAGGTGCCGCCGATTACGGAGCAGAACCTGGCGAGGATCGTTCCCTTCGCAACTAGAGTGAGTAACTTCGCGGCCTTCTTGCAGTCGGCGAAGGCGGAGCAACATCTTGGAAACCCCACCCTCATGGAGGAGCTTGTGGCAAAGCTTCCCACCAGCAAAGGAGTGGATTGGGCCAGGCACGCTGCATCGATCGAGCCCTTTCCCACTGTAGCGCACTTCAGCGTGTGGCTACAGGAGTACGCAAACATCGTGTGTACGATTTTGGACGTCGAGGGAAAGGAGCCGAGGCGTCGAGTTCTATACGCGAGCGTCGACCAGGACCGATACGAGCAGCGGGATGACCGGCATAGGGGTTGTCCAATTTGTGGAGGGCAACATGCCACGACGAACTGCAGGGAGTTCATCGGAGCGTCGCCACCGGGCAGGTGGAGCATGGTGAAGAGGCATCGGCTCTGCTTCACATGCTTACGGAGTGGGCATACGACCAGATCCTGCGATGTGCATGGCGAGTGCCAGATTAACGGATGCCGCAGATTGCATCACCGTCTGCTACATGGAGAGGACGAAGGGCGAAGAAGGCCGGAAAAGCGAGGTGGCTTAAGGCGCCACAACGGAGGAAACCAGATGTCAGCTGTTTCCAGACGCAGCCCGGAAAGGAGGTCTTCGCCACGAGGTGGTTACAGGGACCACGAGAGGAGCCAGCAGTCGGCTGTTCCCAGAGACAACCTGGAGAGAAGGGCCCCTTAGCTAGCGGAGGCGCCCGTGCAGACTAATTTAAGTACTGACGTCGAAGGAGGCCGACTTTTGTTCCGGATACTGCCAGTAACGCTGTACGGAGCTGGTCGCCAGGTGGACACATACGCGCTGTTAGATGAAGGATCCTCCGTCACGATGATCGACAACGAGCTACGGATGGATCTGGGATTGCAAGGCGAACATCGACAGCTGAACATCCAATGGTGTGGAGGAAGAGCCAGCAGGGAGCCTACCAACGTGGTGAGTCTGGAGATAAGTGGAGCTGGGAAGCCCACTCGTTGAGGAACCCGTTGAGGAACGTGTACGCCGTTTCAAACTTGAGTCTGCCGATGCAAACGTTAAGTCGACGAGATGTCTAGGGCGTGCAAAGGGATTCGCGACTGCCGATGAAGCCCTACAGCAACGTGGTGCCGAATTTGCTAATCGGACTGGACCATAGTCATCTGGGATTGCCACTTAGGACGAGGCGGTTTGCCAGAGAGGGACCGTATGCGGCCGCAACCGAGCTTGGGTGGGTTGTGTTCGGGCTAGTAAGTGGACAGTCAACTACGCCGTCACCGAGGTCCTGCCTTCTAGCCGTGTCAATGGACGACACGATGGAAAAGATGGTGGAGGACTACTTCGACATGGAAAGCTTTGGTGTTAAGCTCGCGCCACCGGTCGCAGCCAGCGTGGGGACGCGTGGGCCCAAAGGATCCTCGAGGACACCACGGTGAAAGTGGGGCGTCGCTACCAGACGGGATTGCTCTGGAAGGACGACCACGCTGTGCTGCCACGGAGCAACGAGATGGCGCACAGATGGCTGATCAACGTCGAGAAGAAGTTGAAGCGCAACGGGCAGGTGGCTCTGGAATACGACCGTATCATCAAGGATTACGTTTCCAAAGGATATGCAAGGAAGCTGCAGCCGGATGAGGTCGTGGTGAAGAGCGACAAGCTGTGGTATTTGCCACATTTTGGTTCGAAAAACCCAAACAAGCCCGGTAAGGTCAAGCTTGTGTTCGATGCTGCAGCCAAGGTTGGAGGAACCTCACTCAATTCGGTGCTGGACAAGGGGCCACAGCACTACAAGCCCTTGCCAGCTGTGCTCTTCCACTTCAGAGAAGGAGCAGTCGGAGTCTGCGGGGACATCAAGGAGATGTTCCACCAAGTGCTGATCCGACCCGAGGATCGATGTTTCCAACGATTCCTTTGGAGAGATGGTAACGATGATCGAGACCCAGATGTGTACGAGATGAACGTAATGACGTTTGGAGCAGCCTGCTCGCTGAGCACTGCGCACTACGTCAAGACGGTGAATGCCCTGAAGTTTCGGGATTAAGATCCGAGGGCAGTCAAGGCCATCATCGACCACCATTACGTGGATGACTACGTGGATTTTCGATACGGAGAGCGAAGCTATTGAGGTATCTACCCGAGTGAAGGAGATACACGCGGAGGCTGGATTCGAGCTATGCAAGTTCTCATCCAGCTCACCCATCGTTGAAGCGGCGTTGGGACCACCTGGACAAGTCAAGAGCGTCGGATGGGGTGAGTCTGACCAGAAAATCCTTGGAATGCGTTGGCAGATAGCAACGGATGACTTCAGATTCAACGTGGAGTATCATCGAGTGCCAAAAAGCGTCCTAAGTGGAGAGCGAGTCCCAACAAAGAGGGAGCTTTTGAGCCTGCTGATGTCAACGTTCGACCCATTGGGGTTCCTGTGCTGCCTGATGATTACAGCGAAGCTGTTGCTGCGGGAGATCTGCAGACAGAAGATCCAGTGGGACGAACCGCTGCCGGAGGAGATAGGCAGAGCCTTTGCTGCCTGGCGCAGAGAGATGGACGCCGTGGAACAGTTCCGATGTCCTCGCCACTACTTTGGGTGTGGAGCAGTTTGGACCATCGAGCTACACGTTTTCGTGGACGCAAGTCAATCTGCATTCGCGGCGGTGGCCTATTGGAGGGTCACGTACAAGAATGGCAACGTGCTGGTTAGCTTCGTGTGCGCAAAGACGAAGTGTGCGCCGATGAGAACGATGTCCATCCCACAAGGAGCTGCAGGCAGCGGTCCTTGGAACCAGAGTGATGAACACTGTCAAGAAAGAACATAGTGTGGACATCAGCGAGACGGTTTTATGGACGGATTCAAAAACGGTGCTGAAATGGATCGGCAGCAGCCACCGCCGGTATAAGCAGTTTGTTGGCAACCGAGTGGCGGAGATTTTGGAGTCGTCGAAGGTTTCCCAGTGGAGATGGGTACTTACAGCTGACAACGCAGCGGATGATGCGACGCGGTCGCAGAGGAAGGCGGACCTTAGCACGGAATCCCGGTGGCTAAGCGGTCCCGCATTTTTGAGGCAGCCAGCAAGCGGTTGACCAACGCCTGAGGAGGGAACCGAGCATGTTCCATATGCACCTGATGAAGAGGAGATGCCCGGTGAGTTCGCATTGGTAGCATCGAATGAATTTGTCATCCTGTTCCAGAGATTCTCGAGCTTCAGTCGCCTGGTGAGGACCATCGCCTGGGTCCTGAGGTTTGCGCGACGGTGCCGCAAACAGAGAAGCGAGCTCGAGGAAAGGAGTGTGAGGCGGCGGAGAACCTGTTAATCAGGCAGTCCCAATTGGAGTCGTTTCCCGACGAATGAAGTCTGGCGCCTTACGTGGACAAATATAGAGTTCTGCGGGTTTATGGCAGAGTCGATGCCGCGCTGTCCATGCCGTACAGTGCGAGGAGGCCTGTGATACTGTCACACAGGCACAGTCTTACGGAGATGGTAGTAAGACACTACCACGCCCAGATGAAGCATCAAAGCGTGGATGCGACGATTGCCCAGATCCGGAGGAGATTCTGGGTCACGAAGATAAGAAGTGCTGAAGGAGGTAATCTCTCGTAACCCAAACAAGCCCGGTAAGGTCAAGCTTGTGTTCGATGCTGCAGCCAAGGTTGGAGGAACCTCACTCAATTCGGTGCTGGACAAGGGGCCACAGCACTACAAGCCCTTGCCAGCTGTGCTCTTCCACTTCAGAGAAGGAGCAGTCGGAGTCTGCGGGGACATCAAGGAGATGTTCCACCAAGTGCTGATCCGACCCGAGGATCGATGTTTCCAACGATTCCTTTGGAGAGATGGTAACGATGATCGAGACCCAGATGTGTACGAGATGAACGTAATGACGTTTGGAGCAGCCTGCTCGCCGAGCACTGCGCACTACGTCAAGACGGTGAATGCCCTGAAGTTTCGGGATTAAGATCCGAGGGCAGTCAAGGCCATCATCGACCACCATTACGTGGATGACTACGTGGATAGTTTCGATACGGAGAGCGAAGCTATTGAGGTATCTACCCGAGTGAAGGAGATACACGCGGAGGCTGGATTCGAGCTATGCAAGTTCTCATCCAGCTCACCCATCGTTGAAGCGGCGTTGGGACCACCTGGACAAGTCAAGAGCGTCGGATGGGGTAAGTCTGACCAGAAAATCCTTGGAATGGGTTGGCAGGTAGCAACGGATGACTTCAGATTCAACGTGGAGTATCATCGAGTGCCAAAAAGCGTCCTAAGTGGAGAGCGAGTCCCAACAAAGAGGGAGTTTTTGAGCCTGCTGATGTCAACGTTCGACCCATTGGGGTTCCTGTGCTGCCTGATGATTACAGCGAAGCTGTTGCTGCGGGAGATCTGCAGACAGAAGATCCAGTGGGACGAACCGCTGCAGGAGGAGATAGGCAGAGCCTTTGCTGCCTGGCGCAGAGAGATGGACGCCGTGGAACAGTTCCGATGTCCTCGCCATTACTTTGGGTGTGGAGCAGTTTGGACCATCGAGCTACACGTTTTCGTGGACGCAAGTCAATCTGCATTCGCGGCGGTGGCCTATTGGAGGGTCACGTACAAGAATGGCAACGTGCTGGTTAGCTTCGTGTGCGCAAAGACGAAGTGTGCGCCGTTGAGAACGATGTCCATCCCACAAGGAGCTGCAGGCAGCGGTCCTTGGAACCAGAGTGATGAACACTGTCAAGAAAGAACATAGTGTGGACATCAGCGAGACGGTTTTATGGACGGATTCAAAAACGGTGCTGAAATGGATCGGCAGCAGCCACCGCCGGTATAAGCAGTTTGTTGGCAACCGAGTGGCGGAGATTTTGGAGTCGTCGAAGGTTTCCCAGTGGAGATGGGTACTTACAGCTGACAACGCAGCGGATGATGCGACGCGGTCGCAGAGGAAGGCGGACCTTAGCACGGAATCCCGGGGGCTAAGCGGTCCCGCATTTTTGAGGCAGCCAGCAAGCGGTTGACCAACGCCTGAGGAGGGAACCGAGCATGTTCCATATGCACCTGATGAAGAGGAGATGCCCGGTGAGTTCGCATTGGTAGCATCGAATGAATTTGTCATCCTGTTCCAGAGATTCTCGAGCTTCAGTCGCCTGGTGAGGACCATCGCCTGGGTCCTGAGGTTTGCGCGACGGTGCCGCAAACAGAGAAGCGAGCTCGAGGAAAGGAGTGTGAGGCGGCGGAGAACCTGTTAATCAGGCAGTCCCAATTGGAGTCGTTTCCCGACGAATGAAGTCTGGCGCCTTACGTGGACAAATATAGAGTTCTGCGGGTTTATGGCAGAGTCGATGCCACGCTGTCCATGCCGTACAGTGCGAGGAGGCCTGTGATACTGTCACACAGGCACAGTCTTACGGAGATGGTAGTAAGACACTACCACGCCCAGATGAAGCATCAAAGCGTGGATGCGACGATTGCCCAGATCCGGAGGAGATTCTGGGTCACGAAGATAAGAAGTGCTGAAGGAGGTAATCTCGTCGTGCAACGAGTGCAAGTTGCAACGGACGCGGCCGATGCCGCCGATAATGGGACCCCTTCCAGAGGATGGCTTGGAAGCTGGAGGATGACCATTCAAGTACACAGGACTAGACTAATTTGGACCACTGCTGGTGACTGTTGTTCGTCACAGAGAGAAGCGTTGGGTCGCCTTGTTCACATGCTTGACGACAAGGGCGATTCATCTGGAGCTGGCGCATGACCTGTCAACGGCTTCCTGTATAATAGCGATCAGGAACTTCGTCTGCCGTAGAGGACCAGTACGTAAACTGCGGAGTGACAACGGCAAGAACTTCGTGGGAGCTGACAGGGAGGCCAGGCGATTTGGAGACGTGTTCGAGACGGAAAGGATACAGGGTGAGTTATCCAGCAGGAGCATTGAATGGGTCTTTAATTGCCCATCCAACCCGTCTGAGGGCGGAGTATGGGAGCGGATGGTGCAGTACGTCAAGCGAGTGCTGCGCCATACCTTGAAGGAAGTCGCGCCGAGGGACCATGTTATGGAGAGTCTCCTAATAGAGGCGGAAAATATAGTCAATTCGCGTCCGATCACCCACTTGCCACTGGATCCGGACCAAGATGGGCCGTTGACGCCAAACGACCTGCTCAAGGGAGCAGCTAACCTGCCGGATGCGCCCGGACGGGATGTGGAGCGGCCCAAGGAGGGCTCTACGCGAAAGCAGTGGAGGATTGCCCGCATGCTGCGGGACCGCTTCTGGAGGAGGTGGGTCATGGAGTACCTGCCTACGCTTGTGCGCCGCGAGAAGTGGTGCCGGAGAACGGAGCCCATCCGCCAGGGCGATATGGTCTTCGTCTGCGATCCTGCCTTGCCTAGACGAGAGTGGCGCAAGGGCATCGTGGAGGAGGTATACAGCGGAGCTGATGGAGTCGCCAGAAGCGCCACTGTGCGCGTAAATGATAATGGACTATCTTGGACAATGTTGCGGCCCGTCTCTAAACTTGCAGTTTTAGATTTGAGTGAAGCGGGTCTTCACGGGGTCGGGGATGTCGACGGTCAAAACATTTAAGTTAATTTATTTAGTTAAGTTTTTAAGTTATCTGATTTTTGGCCCATTGAAGTACGGGCTTATTAATGGCGGTTATGTGAATGCCGTCGGAAATTGCCTTTTTTATTATCTTGTGAATTGTAGGAGGGCACACTGCGGTAAGGTTAAGAGTAAGATTAAGATTCTGTAATGTGAGGCTAGTTTTAATGAATTTACAGAATAAAACCGCTCCGCTCCGTTCCGTTTCGTACGCTTTGAAGTTCACCTTTCTTTGAACCTACGCGTGGGGAGCTGTTGAAGGCAACTCCGCACTTCACAAGACGACAGACGGATAATGGTATGCCCTGGCACCTCAAGATCATACCTAATACTTATACTTAATTTCTAACTTTTAGCTCTAATAGTTCCTCAGATTTCACAATTTGTGGTAGGCGGGGCGTGGCAGGATGTTGCGTAGGGACCTCAAGAATCTTCAAGCTTAATCTTAGCTTTGTGAATTTCCACTAGCAAAATGAATATTTTAAAGTTCTGTAAAAAAGTAATGGGTACCTTATAGTCGCGGCTTTCGACTACAGCGGTTATTTCTTTTTGACTATTAATCATAGGGTTGCTTAAAATCGTCAATTAACGGTGTGACAATGAAATTTTATTTCGCTTACGTTTTGCATTCTTTTTCTGCTGATAAGAATCCATGCAGACAACGGCTTTGTGTGTAGCAAAAGTATTTTGACAGTATCTTTATAGATACGAGTTTTTTTTTACTACTTTAAGCACGGAAGAATCAAATAATTTCTGTGTTGTACTTTGATCAAAATTAAATTCTGTTATTAAAATAGAAAGGAATTGAAAACTATTAAATAACATAGGTAAAATGGCTGAGCTATGTTTGGTGATCAGATCTTCAATGGTAACAAAGTTTAACACTGGAATAGCAGTCAATGACATTGCCAATGAGCACGAAATTTTTAACGTGTTAGGAGAAGAGTTAGGGCTCGATTAGTAACGAAACTTTTAACGTGTTAGGAGAAGAGTTATGGGTAATTCTGTAAAGGTTATTGAAGTTCGAACATTGTACCCCAAAAGGTTCATGAAGGGCGAAGTTCGAACAACAATGCTATAAATATAGGGGAATATAGTTTTTAGTAAGCCCAAGGGGTTCGCTAATATTCAGACGATTTTAGGTCGTCTGATCAACTTCACCTTTAAAAAGTCTATGGATAAAGACGACGCCATCATCGTCATATTATTAGTAAGGGAAGGTGTAGGTTTGAATCCCAGTTTCGGCCACGGAGAGCAGATATTAAGAAAATCTTTTGGACGGATTCAATAAGACACTGGAGAACCCAATAGTAGGAGTCCTAGATACATAATCGATATTTCAGAATGCATTAATTCTTTCTAGAACTATACCAAGCAGGGTAATAGTGGCAAGCTGCGGGTTTAGGCGACAAAAGGTAAGATTTAATAAGTTTGTAGTGCACCATCTCTGAAAATGGTTCAGGTCGGATTGCAGTTTCACCTGGTAGGAGTGATGGTTTGTATATTGCAGACAGAACTTGACATCATCTGCATACATAAGCACTAAGGAGTCGTTCATAGCCAGAAGAAAATTATTAATGAATAATGTAAAAATTAACGGATAAAGGTGACTCCCATTAGCGACCACGGACGATGCGTAGACCAAAGAAGACCCTGAATTTTTAAAAAGAACTCGTTGCGTTCTATCAGAAAGGAACTGCGAATCTGTTGGGAATCCAATAAATTTTTTTTAATAGAAAGATGTGATTTACGGGGTCAAATGCTTTACTGAAGTCGGAGTAAATGGCATCCGTTAGAATTATTTTTTGGAAATCTTTGAACATGAAAAATGTTAGTTTCAGAAGATTGGTTGTGGTAGATCGTTGTTTCATAAATCCATACTGGCATGAAGATATGACAGATAAACACTGATCCTGCAAGTGAGAAACGAGAATTTTTTTTACAATTTTTAGAATTGCTGATAGTTTAGACATACCTTTATTAATTTCAGTATCCGACTTTTTTCCCTTCTTTTTAATAAAAAGTGATTCTTTCCAGAGAGTTGGAAATGTGGACGTTTCCAAAGAAAGCTTTAATAATTTTGGAAGAGGTTTGGCCAGGGTATGGATGGAGGGAAGATGTAAGTTGCTTGGACGAAAATCTGATGCGGTCAGAACGTGGTTGAACACATATTGTCAAATTCCATCGCGAATCTTAAATAATGATACTTTTCTGTTATATTTATATTTAAAGTTAGTTATATCATCTACAATAAAAGCTAATACGTCTGACTCAGACGTATCATCTGAATGCCGGGAAACGCTTTGGCTTACCAGGTTCTAATCCATAGTACTATAGCCATAGGCGTACTAAACAGCTGCGGCGACACTTCAGTGTTCTGTTGGTAAGAAGTGGAAGGAAGAAGGATACTGATAATCTGCGGCACAAATAAAATTGAACATTTTTAAATTGGGTGTCCAGCGCCGTGAGCAAATCAGGCATTACAAAAAGCGCCGAGCACCTAAAAAAAAAATCATTTTTTGTCTGCGACATAAAATATCTCATTCCCTTTAAGTCCCCCAACATCTTTCGTAGCAGTATTACAAGCCGGAATCGCCACGGTCCAAGACGTCCAATTTAGCAAGAACTACATTATCGCACAGGCAACACAAAACGCTGGTTTGTTGTGAATATTTTATTATACGATTTTAAATAGCAGACAATTTCAGACATATTGGGAGATATTTATTTTTTAAACTCTATTAATTCGAACACGGGTCACTGTGTGAAAAAAAGAGAGCTGATGTAAAAGATTAAAAACAAGATAAGTTTTAGATATTCACACAGGAAGAAGGGTAAGAGAGCATAGGAAATATATATTAATAACAAGAAGAAACGCTGTAGCCGAGTGCCGCGACTATAAGATACCGGTTACTTTCTTACACAATTTTAAAATATTCATTTTGCTAGTGGAAATTCACAAGGCGCCACGTTAATGTTAAGAAACTGATAGTGACGTCACTGCCCATGGGAGGCCTGGCAATGGGAAAAACTGGCAATTTCCCCAAAAAAAGTTTGGACTTTTAAATAATAAAAGCTCCATACAACTTTTTCATGTGTAACCACGTTTGATATCGACAGACGATGAATAAAAACATACCTCGCAGAAAAATGAAATTAACTCGTGAACACTTTCGAGCAATCATTTTTTACAACCTTCGACGTTAATTATCACGACAAAAGTGCATCAATGAACTTAATTTTTTGTTTTGCGATAAGCGCCAACCTATGTCACTGTGAAAAACTGGTTTAATGAATTCTATCTTGGCCGATGCTCGCTCGAAGACAAATGTCGTGGAGGTGGCCTAAAAAATTTGGTGCGCCAGAGAACGATGCGGTGTTCTTCACAGTGCCAGAGGTTTGCGCTTATCGCAAAACAAAAAAATAGGTTCATCGATGCACGTGAACTGAGAATAGAAGATCGTTATGTGACATAACGTGAGATAAATGCATCCTTCGGCATTTCTGCCATCACAATAATCGATATTGCATGAACAAAAAAAGGTTTGTTTTCGTTAGATTCCGCACGATTTGACAACTGCTTAAAAAATGTAGGGAAACGAAAATTTGTAAAAATACATTCGCGGTGCTTCAAAAGAGAATTATTAGATCGTCAAAAGTGACAATATTGGTTTCATGCTTTCAGTCCGAT